GACGCGTAACACTTGGGCCCGAGTTTCGTCGAGCTAAATGGCACGGCAAAGGGTTAAAGACCATGGCCTCCTCATCAACCTGGAGTATTTCATCTTTGCTGTCAGCTCCATAACCTTCCTGGGCTACGAGATCTCGGCGCAGGGCTCCCGGCCTCTCCAAGATAGAGTACAGGCTGTACTCAACTACGAGCAACCTCAGTCTCTCTTCAGCCTGTGACGGTTCATTGACATGGTCAGTGCCTACCGTCGTTGTATCAAGAACGCCGCCATGCTTCTCGCTCCACTGCATCATCTGCTTCTGGGCGCCAGGAAGAAAGACATGCGTCCTGTTCCTTGGAGTGATGCAGCGCTCTCGGCCTTTCATCAATGCAAAGAGGCTCTTGTTAATGCGGCTCTCTTGGCTCATCCTTGCTCTGGCGCACAGCTCAGAATCTCCTCCGATGCCTCCAACACTAGGGCTGGAGCGGTTCTCGAGCAGCTGGTTCAGGACCAGTGGCAGCCTCTTGGATTCTTTTTTAAGTCCTTCTCGCCCACGCAGCAAGGTTACTCGGCGTATGACCGAGAGCTGACCACTCTATTTCTCTCCATCAAACATTTCAGAGGCGTGATTGAGGGCTACCCTATCACTTTTCGCACAGATCAGAAACCTCTCCTCTCTGCTTTCAAGCAGAAGCTGGACAACGCCTCACCACGGTAGCTTCGCCAACTCAATTTCATTGTTCAGTTTTCTACAGGCATTGAGCACATTGCCGGTGCATCCAACATCGTGGCGGACTCCCTCTCACGGATCGACGAGCCTGCGCCGAACTCCGACGCTATCAATCCAAGCTCCAGCGGTCCTGCACACGCGTCTGCCTCGCTACAGAATGGCTCTCCTCCTCAAGTCGACGCCCTTCGACTCTCTACAATGCTCAATTTTGCTGAGCTCTCGCAAGCACAAACGGGAGATCAGGAACTGCAGCACGTTTTCACAAGTGCTACCACTTCTCTTAAACTCCGCAAGATTACGCTGGGACCGGACAACTTAGAAATCTACTTCGACGTTTCGCAAAACGACATCAGGCCTTTCGTGCCGGAAGCATTCCGGAGGCAAGTTTTCGACCTCATTCATTCACTTTCTCATCCTTCAGGTCGCGCCACCACCAAGATCATCTCGCAACGCTACGTGTGGCCTTCTATGTCAAAAGACATAACTAGATGGGCCAGCACCTGCGAGCATTGTCAACGCTCTAAAATTGTTCGGCACGTGCACCTGCATCCCAAGTCGTTTCTGAATCCGGATCAGCGCTTTGATCATGTCCGCATAGATTTGGTGGGCCCGCTGCCGCCTTGCCAGTGCTACACCTACCTGCTTATATTGGTGGATCGCTTCACTCGCTGGCCGGAGGCCATTCCTCTCAAAAACATCACGGCCGCAAACGTGGCCACTCACTTCTACTCCAACTGGATTGCACTCTTTGGCTGTCCCAAGTTCATCACAACAGACAGAGGCTCGCAATTTGAGTCTGTTCTCTTCAACGCTCTCACTCAACTGCTGGGAGGTAAGCATCAGGACGATGCCCTACCACCCTGCTCCAAACGGCATCCTTGAGCGCTGGCATCGTGCCCTGAAAACAGCTCTGCGCTGTCATGACTCTCTGGACTGGCTTGACAAGCTTCCGACGGTACTTTTGGGTCTTCGCTCAGTCTACAAAGAAGATCTCAAGGCTTCCCCTGCTGAGTATCTCTACGGCTCCACTCTTCGTTTACCAGGGGAATTTTTCATCGATGAGCAGCATCCGGAGGACCATGCATTCTTCTTAGCTACATTCAAAACTCACATGCAGCAAATGAGACCTGTGCCGGCTTCCCACCATTGTAAACAGAACACCTTTATCTACAAGTCTCTCTACACCTCGTATACCATGTCTACTTGAGAAACCATGCAAAAAAGCACACTCTCAACCAGGCATACTCTGGCCCTCACAAGGTAATCCAGAGGATCGACGATAGTCTTTCAGATTGACATAAACGGTCGATCAGCCAACGTCAGTGTGGAGAATTTAAAACCAGCTTTCTTGCTTCGCGAGGAGCTCTCGGCGACGCCTCAGGCCTCTACGCACGACTCCGGTGGCTCTTCCTCTCCGGTGGCACTGCAAGCTCCTTCGCACCACCCTTCGCAGCAAGGCTCTGCTTCCTCCACAAAGGCAGAGCAACCTACTTTCACACCTGCGGCGCCGCAGCCTTCTTCTACACTGCAGCAGACCCTGCCTTTGCAGCACAACGCGGTCTCTCCACAGGCAAATCAACAACAGCAGCACACTACCTCGGTTACTCCTCCGACAGAAAGAAAAACTAAAGGGCATAGCGGAATAAGCATGTGAAATCTGCCCCCGCACCAATCGAGCTCAAATTGGTATCATTAGTTGGTACCCCTGAGATATGAAACTTCCCCAAACATGATCCTTCAAAATGCATTTTTTGGGGAGTTATGGAGGGGGAAAGCAAAATAAAAAAGTTTTTCTCAAAAACGGCTGAACCGATTTTAATGAAAGAAATATATGTTGTAAAAATCGTTGAGGTAGGTTTAAGAAAATTTTTTAT